CCCCCCCCCCCTCAGGAAACATGAAATATTTCATGCTGTATGACTGTATACATTTGACTCACCTTTTTGGCCACTTCCTAAAATTTTTTTCTGTAACAATCATATCATTAAATATATTTGAGTATTTAATCAATTAATTAAAACAATTACATGGAGAATATCATGTCATTAACATACCAGCATTGTCATTGTTTCTCGCGTGGGATTTTTCAGCACTTCCCTTTTTGCCTTCATTTCTTGACATAATTGTTGAAAGTGTAGTTTCTAAAAGTATAGTCTATTATTTGATATATCTATAAATATACTTTCATGATTTATCTAAGCAACAGATAAATTTTTCTTTTGAAAATCCTTTTACAGCTTTGTGTTGCTTAGGTAACTCTTAAATATAAATCTACTAACCGCCTGTTCACCCATGCCATTTTTTTGTGCATTATATGTCTCCCACCGAACTTCCTCTGGAGATAAATCCTCCATACCTGGGATACAGGGACGTTCTTTAAGTGGAGCGAAACATGATAGCAACCACTGGCCACCTCTCTCGGCAAAAAGTACTTCCTTAGCCACCAGAATTCTAATGTATACAGATATAGAAAAGAAATAAAAGATCAATCTCAAGTATATAGACTTATGAACATAAACAGAAGCTCATAATATACTATAAGAAATAAACTAAGATCCGTCTGTTGGGCTGTGTGATTCCACAGCAAGACGGTGACTTGCTAACACGAACTACTAACAATAAGTACAGGGTCTCAGTTCGAGTCCCGGCATCGTGTTCGAGCGTCCAACATATTTTCTCGACCCAGCTCTTACAATACAAACTTATGTGAATACTTACACAATATCGTCCTCGGTTTTAGTATTGCCTGCTGGAAAAGTTAAGTTAAAGTTAAAGTAACGTTACTTGTCAGTTAAATAGCAAAAGTGTATATATGTTAACATATTCCTTACCAAAATGATTTATATGTTCGAATTGGCAATATTGACCATAACGGCAATTGCCTTGTCGATAATATTTACAGATAACCATTGTATATACTGCAAAGATGCAAAAACTTGAGGAGTACTTTATTCCAGCGTTCCTTCGTGAACGTCGTTCCTCCTAAAACGTACAGAGCATCGCTCCACCATCTCCCCCTTTTTATAAAATACAAATTATATTTTAAAAAAATAATCTTATGCAATAGTTTTATGTACGTATAGGCTATGTTTACACCGTGCGCTTAGTCCGCGATCTATATGATAGGTATCTTTGTTTAACCTGCAGGATAAAAAGAACATTTATTGTATGGGCCGCGGTCTAAATGCACGGTGTAAACATTTAGTAGTTTTGTAACCTACATCAACTTATATTATGCTAATGTATTGTTTTGGTTTCTTCCAGCTTTTTCCTTCATTCTTCTTCTTCTTCTTCTTCCTAGTTAATAGCTCCTGCCTCCCTCTAATAAAGTATGTGGAGGCACGGCCACATCACGTCAATTGTGGATTACGTCTTTGCCTTTAGTAGGTACAGTAACGAATGATGCAATGCCCGCGAAAATGGTGTTGCTCGAACGGACACCGAGCACCTGCGTCTACGACGTCGTCATGTCGCAATTGGTCGCAATAACGAACAAACGAGACGAGCCTCCGCATTCCGCGGACACTCATCAGTATTAATGAGGTTCAATGCTCAGTCGAAGTCGGCAATACTTTTAAAAATATAAAATAGAATACACCCGATCCAAAAACGCGTCCGCCGCAGTCGAGTGGTTCTTCGGGACTGTTTTTCTTTCCTTCATTCATATGTATACGAAGAAACACTTGTAGCTCCGTTCATAATTTTTCAGGAACTATGTGTAACAAAGTGTATGTTAGATTTGGTCGATAAAGTAATTTGATTTCGATAATCTGCAATCTGTTTAATATTCATAAATTATTAAAGAAATAATACTATTTTGCTGGCACTTTATCGAAAATCAAATAAAAAATATATAAATTAAAAATTTATTCTTTTTTTAAAAATTTATTAATTTTTAAATAATAGACACATTTATTCGATGAATCAGCAGATAATTATTTTATAGTTATTCGCATAAATGTGCAAAAAGAGTTGACCTCTAATGTGCAAAAATAATTTTTCCACCCTAAAAGTGTGTACATGTATATATTATATTTATGTAATACGTATATAGTTATAATTATATTTTTTGTATGTATAGAATCGATTAAAAATAAAAAATAAAAAGATATGAATCGTACGTTATCTTTTTCTTTTAATTTTAATTCTTTAGAACTCTATAAAGAATACATGTATGTGTGTATGTGCGTGTGCGTGCGCGCTGTATATGTAGTGAGTGTGTGTGTCTAGTTTTCCTATCTCTATCAAAATTATATTTCTTTATTGTTTATTTCTATTAGTATAGAAAAAATAAAAAGAAATTGGTTTTTTTACAATTCTAAAGAATTATGTTATTAAAGAGTAAATTAAATTGAAATTTTAAACCTGAGAGAAATAAAAATGAATTAGACATGTCAATCTAATTTTATATCTTTCTGGAAAAGCCAATCTATACAGTGGTAGATACGGATATAAGAAATCAAGTAATATATATTTTATAGTATATCTATATATAAGTATAAATATAATTCAATGAATGTCGACTAAATTTTACCTGTATGCTCGTTAAATACGCTCCTGGTTAATCAGAATTATAATGAACGAAAGATTAGTAAAATATTTATAGCCGAAGTAATATTTTTTGCAATATAAATTAATTATTTACAGATTTTTAATATGTTATTCAACATTATTAAGATCCAAGATGTTATGAGCATCAAAATTGTTAAATTGACAGATAATTTAACTCGTGATATTATTGCGGTAATTTCGTAGAGTAGTGTGTTTCAAGACCGAAAAATTGTTCGGCGCGCGGTTTAAAAGACTACATATGTAATATATAAATTCACACGAAGTTATAATAGTACCTAAGATCCAGCTCGATCGTTAAAGGCAATTTCTAATTGGTTGTGTTTCTCACATGTACAGTCCTATGAGATTACTTATTTAAATATTAAAATATTTATTCTTCTTTCATATTAAAATACAGGAGAGAATATCTTATTTAAAAGTACATGAATATAAGAATAAACGATCAAGCAAGCATATATTGTTTAGAAATTAACCCTTCGTCTTAGTCTTCCTATTTTCGTTCTTAACATTCAAAGAACCACAATTTTGACAAGAACAAAAACGCGGTACTGCCAATTGTTTCTTCAATCTTCTTCCGTTTTCACATATTAAATTGGCAATAATACCCATGTATTCCTTCACTTGACAACATTGACAATCATTTACTTGATTCCAATTTTCTATATAAGGAAAGATAAACAAGATAATATAATCGAGCTAAATATTGTTACAAAAAAAATAGAATAGAAAAAATTTAATTTAGTTTTGCATTATTACCACTGTCTAAGAATGTTGAAGATTGGCATGATCCACTGCATTGTTTAATACCCTCAATAGCATCAATGTTTTTACATTTTCCATGTAATGGATGATTCACAATTAGCATACCTACAGTACTATTTGCATTCATGACAATTGCTTCACATGTTTCTGAAGAATAATTATAGATAAGGAATTAATTGATTTTCATTATAAATAATTAAAAATATACAGTATTATTTTTCAAATAAATAAAAAAGGCTTGTTTTTATTTTTCTTCTTACCCTTAATCTGATCTTTTATATTATTGCTCATATTACATCGTTTGCAGCATTGATCATGATAAATCGATTTATCAGGGCAATTTGTTACATCTGGGCAAACAATTGGACTCATAGCAAGAGAAAGCTAAAATCAATATGCAATTATACAATATATAAAATTTTAAAATTAATTAATTATAATAACGTATATAATTAATTATATATAGTTCGACTTTCCGAAAAGATGCTAGTCGCATCTGATCCAGAGGTATTTACTCTTCCTGAAAGATAACTTGCCTGTCCGTTAGTTTCCATGCACATGTAAGTAGTACAATTATCATCGGACGACCACGTCATGCCAGGCGCATACAGAGTATCTTCGAACACACAAAATGCTTGCTTGCATTCCCCGCAACATTTACCATCTTCTGGTTCTTGATACGACCATCCCTTAAGGGAATTTTTTTTAGATTTTATCAATACAATATCAATGAAATATTTTAAATATACAAAAAACACTTAAATGTAAGTACATATAATGAAATGTTCTTACTTGAGAACACTGTTTTGAACACACTTCAACTTCTTTACGCTTTGTTATATTCGGACCATCCACACATGTCTCGATGATACAGCTATCTGTGAGAGATTTCCAAGTTTCTCCAGGTTTATACAATTTTCCATCATTAAGACAAGCTGTTTTAACAATTTCTGGACAACATCTTCCAAGAATTTTGCGTACTTCTATTTCGAACTCGGATTCCACTTGCGGATCGATTTCTGGGCAAGTTTCAGTACTTGCTTCTAGATACACCTAAATTTGAATAACGATGTAACTAAACGAATTCATACAATTTTATCAATTAATAAATATTTGGATTTCGTCAATAATCTTACACTTCCATTTGTTGATTTGCAAAAATACGTTGTGCAATGATCGTTAGAATACCATTGTTCTCCTACATTTTTAAGCGTGCCTTCTATAATACAAGCAACTTGGATGCATGTACCACAGCAATTAACACTAGTATCTTTAGATGGTTGATATTTGTATCCATAATCACACGCGGTATCACATTCTTGAACCTTATTCAATACCTGAATACTGCTTGAATCTTTGTTGCATTGCATCATAAGACAAGCATCTTCAATATTAGGCTTCCAACTTTCGCCAATCTATAATAATAATTAGCGATATGAATTATATTTCTATAATAAAATAATTTATTATAAAATTATATTTTTATATTAAAAATAATGACGCATACACTTTAGTAAGTTATTCTTACATTGTATATTTTGCTTTTCCATTTACAAGCAGTACGCTCAAAGATTGGACAGCATTTATCATCTAATAATATTTCTTCCAGTACATAATCATCTACATCAGGATGTGCGCTCATACTTGAACACTCCGTAGATAAACAATTTGTTTTAGGACCATCATCCGAATTCTCACACATGCACGTTTTGCATTTACCGTCCTTCCATTCTTCGCCAATTTTTTTTGCTACCATTCGTTGTTTGCCTTTTTCTTCGTTATTTGTATAAAGACAAACATCCTTTGGCGGCGCTAATGTAAATATGAAATAATACAATCAACATTTTTATTTTGTAGAATTCATATTCTTTTGACAAAAATATGCGCTGTTAAAAATATTGATATCTTAAAAAGATTTATGTCAGTTTAAATATAAAAAATGCAATAAAAATAAAGCGACAGAACTCCTGTATTCTTAAAAATAGTAATGAAATAAAATGAAGTAAAAAATATGAACGATCTTAATAACATGGTATATACAAATGTATTCGCAAATTTGACATATTAAATTGTAATTGTTTTTGAAATAAAGATTGTATTGCACTTTAATTATTGCGCTGACTCCTTACAGCTCTCTTTTTATACAAATGTTTATGTCAGTTTAAATTATGTTACAAATACTATATTTTTTCATTTTCCAACGCATACATATACATAATTTAACAATTATATAAAACAACAATATGAAAAAAATACCGCATTCGTAAGTGGGACAGCAACTGTCTAAAAGCATCGTTGTAATAATGTTATAATAATCCGGACAGATTAATGCAGAAGGACAGATCTTCGGATCACATATTTTACTTGGTCGTGGGCAACAACCAGATGTATTCATTACATGTACAAAACCAGGCTGTAGTTGCTCAATTTCATTTGTAAAATTATCGAAAGTAGGACATTCGCTTACAGGCAGACATTCTGAAATTACATACAATATTATGTAATTTGCAAGAATTAGATAATAATAAGAGATGCATACAAACATGTTATACATACGACATATAAATTTGTGACAACCATCAGCATCGATAATCGCTTTCATTGTCTGGCCAAAGCCACATTCTGGCTCCTGTGACTCAACACATATTGTAGGCGCTGTCGGCTTTGGAGCTAGAGAGACATATTAGATTATAAACGGATACAATAAAATATATTGCTGTTTATTAAAAAATTGTAGCATCAGATAATCTTTCTCACGACTATGTATTATATTATCTAAAAAAATTAATAAGATGTCAATATGAGCCGACATAAGTTCTTGTGTAAATAAAACGTAAATCTTTTATTTTAATTAATCATTAATTCATTTATAAAATAAATTTTACAACCAAAAAACATGCAACTTTAATAAATAAATATTGTAAATATATATGTATACATTAGAAATTATACATATTTTTGCATAATATTAATGTTAACGTACCACATAAATATTTAGCGCAACATCTCTCGTTAGTTCCATTGATGAGTATAGGTGTCATATCTTCCTCACAAATCGTATCCAACACAGGACATTCCATCGTTTGACAGTTTACAATCCCATCATTGCAATTGCATTCGGTGCATTTATCTGGATGCCAGATATCTCCTTGTACATGA